AAGATGCTGTTGCAGTAATCGAGTCTGGAGTCTGAAGCATGAATCAGGGTTTCAGCGGTGGAGAAGGTGGGAGATGTTGTCAGGTGGAAGAATGTGGTTTTGGTGACACAGTTTGTTCTGTTTGAGCAAGAACTCTAAAGTATTAAATGTGTTCTAATGGAAGGAACCCAGAAATGCTGCAGGTTTTTACATTTACAGTTCAAGCATCAAGTTGTGACATCAGAGTCTCCAGCCGACACATCGTCAGTGTTTCCTGTGGTTGGTTTGCAGGCGGCTGTGGCTCAGGTGGTGGAGTGGTTGTCCTCCAATCACAAGGCTGTTATGGTTTACATCTGCCTCGTCTGTAGCTGGATGGAGGAAAAAGAAAACAAAATGTGGGTTCATGTTCTCATGTTTCAACCTGCGCAGAATAATGCCATGTAAAGAGAGAAACGACTGAAGAACCGTGTAAAAGACAATCTGTACTCAACCAGGTGGTCCACAATCCTGAAGATGAGTCCTTCAAGAACCTGCTTTTCTTCTTTGAAGCCCCATTTGTGGTGCCCAAGGGAACGATTTTGGTTCTTAAAGAAGTTTCATCCCGATCCAAAATGATGGATCATGTAAGCTACATAAACGAATATTAGTTCTACATTTCTGTTCCTGTAGTGAAAACGCTGCGAGAACAGACCAGCGATGCATGAAGAGAACAGTGTTGTTGATCTGTAAACACGGTTCTACATTTAGTTGTTGGGTTCTATCGAAGCAAACCAGCTTCCATGGCGTTCTAACACCTGAAGAGCTACACAGATAAAAGTTATTTCATGGACATGATAAACAGTGAGACGGACCAAAGAGCCTGTGGTAGCGTCCCTTATCGCACTGAGAACAACTGTTGGCAGGAATGGTTCTTCAAAGAACCTCTTGCTAAAAGCTTCTTTGTGGTATGTGTCCTCTCTGACATCATAGAGGAACACTTTTCTTTCTTTTTCATGAAGAACTAGTCTTGGGTCCAGTCAGCACCTTTTTTGTCTGAGTGTAACCATGAAATTAAACCGTAGAACCATAAAGAACCATAAAGAACCATAAAGAACCAGCTCTGCGAAGTTTGCTGTAACTGCATTCATGTCGATTTATTGGCTCAGAGTTGTCTTCTGCGCTGTGAAAGCACAAAACTATAGTTTAACCCAAGAAATTAAGTTCAAACTTTAATCACACAGACTTTGCTTTCACAGCTTCTACGTTTAAAACAAGTTCTTCCTGATGCCACTGAGAACGTCCTCTACGGTGTGACGAAGCTCCTGCTGCAGGAAGAGACGCAGAGTCAGGAAGTGAACTCAATGCTCACTTTGTTCATGTTCGTTTAGTTTGAATTATGCTGAAAGAAGAAGAAGAAACAAGCAGAACTTAATTCAACGTGCAGGTCAGCAGTGACCCTCTGCTGCTCAGACTTCATTCATTTGTTATTTGGGACCAAAAACTAAGTTCTGTAAAAACGTTTGGACTGACTTTAGAGAATTCCTTTCAAAACTTTAAAACCCCTGTGAATCCCTTTCTCCAGAAATAACACTCCAACAGCCATGACATGGGGTGAGAACACAGACAGAAGAGTGTCCAGTAGATCAGAACCGTCTTCATTTTCACCTTGAAAATGGAAAAAAAAGTGTTGGTGTAAATAAACAGGAAACTTTTTGTGTTCCTGCACCCAGAGTCTGGCTGCCTCCCTGAGCCTGGATCTGGTTCCGGTTCCTCTCCCCGTTCGCAAATATGAGGAAATAATACATTTGAAAATGTGCAGAAATAAAAACCAAGCTTCTCAGAAGGACTCCTGGGATTCATGGTGGTCTTCAGTCTGGTTAATGACGGCACTGTCTGGTCTGCTCGTTAAGATTTAACCGTGTTCGGTTTATTCCTCGTCCATCGTATGTCTCTGCTGGCTCACAGCTTCTTTATTTAAATGTTCTGAGACGGTAGAACTTATTCACTGCAAACTCTGATCCATCAAAAAACAACGTTCAGGCTTTCAGCAGCTCATAGACTTTACCTGTGAACCGGCTCAGGTGCTTTCTGTGGCTCTGCCCCCTACAGGTAACATTATGGTGGTCCATCCAGAGTTTGAGAAAGCAGGTCAGGAGGCGGGGCTTCAGGTGTGGCGGGTAGAGAACTTGGAGCTTGTTCCTGTTCCTCCGAGTCTATACGGAGGGTTCTTCAGCGGAGATGCCTACCTGGTTCTAAACAGCACCTCCAACCGCAGTGGAGCCCTGCAGTACGACCTGCACTACTGGCAAGGTACCGCCGGACATCGCATACTACGACTGCTAACGCAGTACTTCACAGAACACTACTTCTGCTGCACTGCAGTACTGGTACTTGCAGTAGTAATGACAATAAATTCTGCTCTCTGATTGGCTGGGTGTTCTGAAGGTTCAGAATGTTCTCAGGACGAGAGCGGAGCGGCGGCCATCTTTGCTGTCCAGATGGATGACTTCCTGAATGGGGCGCCGATCCAGTACCGTGAAGTTCAGAGTCACGAGTCCAGCAATTTCACTGGGTACTTCAAAACTGGCCTCAGATACATGGTAACTACACAACCAGTACTACCAGTACAACAGGTTCCCACTGGCTCTCGTAAATGGCATCACTTCCTGTTTGTTCTCCACAGAAAGGGGGCGTGGCCTCAGGATTTAATCATGTGGTGACCAATGACGTGGAGGTTCAGAGGCTGCTGCAGGTCAAAGGACGACGTGTCGTCAGGGCAACAGAGGTTCCTGTGGGCTGGGAAAGGTTCAACCAGGGAGACTGTTTCATCCTAGACCTGGGANTATGAACAAACATTGATCTTTCACTCAGTGCTGCTCCTCCTCCAGATGTTCTCTCAGCAGGTCAACGTTCCACTCAACCAGCTGCAGCTTTTTATACAGATGTTTGATGCCTGAGGGTTCTGCCAACAGAACCACATCATCTACAGAAAGACTCTGAGGGATGGGTGCTCATCTGCTGCACCTTCAGATCCACCCACCAACAATAAATCATAAGTAACCTCAGGTACAGGTTCTACAGGGTTCTACAGGGCGACCCATCAGGGTTCTAATGACCAATCATTACCTGTTGACAACATCAGCAGCTGATCCCAGTCCAGAGGCAGGAGGACGAGGAGGCGGAACATCATCTGAGAAGGACAAGCTGTCCGAGAAGAACGGGTCCTCCTCCAGCTCTCTATCAGAACAGCGTCATCAGTGAGACAGCAGGGTTCTAAAGACATGGTCCTGTGGGACACAGTGTTGGACCTACTCGCTGTCCTCGCTGTTCTCTGGCGGCTTGTCCTCCAGACCTGCAGCAGGGGAACTCAGGTAACTGCGACTTTGTAGGAACCTCAATACTAGAACGTCCAGAACATCCTTGTGAGGCTTCTGGAGCAGCTCCTCCACCAGAGACAGAGACACCATGCTGATCTGAGGACAGACACACAATCATTTTGGACACATTTTGAACGATTCTGAACAAGGTGGGCGTGGTTTCCTGCAGGTGTTCTCACCTGGTCGGAGATGTGGTCACAGCGCTGCAGCAGCAGGTGAGTCAGAACCTCTGTCCTCAGCAGGAAGTGGACCAGCTGGTCCAACAGAGACGAGGATCGGACCAGTCTGACCGCAGCACAGAGGACAGAGGTGGAGGCCAGGACCACCTGCTCACACCTGAACACACCTGGACATCAGACAGGACCAACTCCACATCCTCACTACTCATAATCATCTTTATCAGACTTCCTGGATTACAAAGACAGAAGAAGCTCAGTGACACTGAAGTGAGTCCAGTTTTCATTCCTGAGNTGGTGGTGGTGATGATGAGTGTCTGTGTAGGTAAGGATGCTAACACTGAGGAGCGTAATGCCGTCCTGCAGAATGCAGAGAAGTTCATCTGCCAGATGAACTACCCACCATACACACAGGTAAACACAGATGAACATAAACAAACGCAGACCTGAACCTAGTTCACCTGTGCATCCAGGTGACCTTTTGACCCTGTCCTACCTGTGGTCCCCTCAGGTCCAGGTCCTCCCTGAATCCGGGGAAACGCCGCTCTTCAAGCAGTTCTTTAAGGACTGGAAGGACCCTGAGGACACCGTTGGCATGGGAACAGCCTACGTGTCCAATCAGATCGCAAAGATAGAGAAGGTAATCCAGTCAGGTTCAGGATCTGGACCGAACTGCCCTGAACCAGACCACAGCTGACTCTGTGATTGGACAGGTGCCGTTCGATGTGTCAGAGCTCCACCAATCAGATTGCATGGCAGCGCAGTACGGCATGGTGGACGACGGAGAGGGTGACAAACAGGTGAGGCCGGTTGTGGACAGGTGCCCACACTGAACCTTTACACATTTTACTGCACCAACAGGTGCAGCATCACCTGATCAACCCCTCTGAGTTTTTAGCAGAAAACGTAGACTGTGTTTAGTTTTTACCCTGAGTAGTATCTGCAGGCACAACAACCTAAGACCAAGAGGGCAGCCTTCGGGTGCCTGAGAAGCAGAATCCAGGGCAAAAACAGCTGAGTGTCACACAGCTGCTGACAGAAACCGGCCTGAATAAAAGTGCAGTTCATCTGTGAAGGTCTGATAGACTGACATTAGTCTTGTTACTGATTGTTCACGTGCCTGTTGCTCTGAATGTAGATCTGGCGTATTGAAGAATCTGATAAGGTTCTGGTGGATCCAGCGGTCTTTGGTCAGTTCTACGGAGGGGACAGTTACATAATCCAGTATCAGTACCACCACAGCGGCCGACAGGGTCATGTGATCTACATATGGTGAGATGTTACATACGTGGTGCACTGCAGGTCTGAACAGGATCATGAAAGTCTGTTTGAGATCACGTCTACTGATCCTCCATCACTGCTCAATAACCTTCCTCCATCTCTACAGGCAGGGGGCGGAGTCTAGCCAGGATGAGGTTGGGGCGTCAGCCATCTTGGCCATCAAGCTAGATGAGGAACTGGGAGGCGGCGCTGTTCAGGTACACAGACTGGATCCAGTTCTGTTCATATAACTGGCCTTTGAGCCTTCTCACAATTACCTGTCTGTGTGCAGGTGAGAGTGGTTCAGGGGAAAGAGCCTGCCCACCTCATGAGCCTGTTTGGTGGGCAACCAATGGTGGTGCACAAGGGCGGGACATCCAGAGAGAACGGCCAATCACAGGTGGCAGATACCCGCCTGTTCCATGTCCGAGCCAATCCAGCAGGACACACCAGAGCTGTTGAGGTGAGACATGAACCACAACCATGTGGAGGACCGAGTCACGTCAGGAACCCCCTTGTTTTAGCCCAAAATGTTTTTCACTGAAGGGATGGGTCCAGGATATTATTACAGATTATCGTAGTTGAGAACTTTTTTTATGGAACATTTTAGTCCAAATCGTTTTGGTCCAGAATGTTCTTCACACAATGTTTTAGTCTAGAACGTTTTTTACGAAATATTTTAGTCCAGAATGTTTTGCTCCAGAACCTCACTCACTCACTCATTTCAGCTCTCCACACCTATCAGGATGCCACCAGACTGATGTTCTGGAGTCTGATCCCAGTTTCACTCCAGTTGGACCCTGACTGACTCATCTGTCCTCCTCAGGTGGATCCATCCTCCTCCAGTCTGAACTCCAGTGATGTCTTCGTCTTGGTCGCCCCCTCTGGATCCTGGATGTGGAAGGGGAGAAGGAGTGGCTCGGCTGAAGTCCAGGGAGCTGAACACCTGGCCAGCATCCTGCAGGTGACCCCCGCCCAGGTGGAGGAGGGTGAAGAGGAAGGTGAGGAGGATGGCTGAGGGTCTGCTACTTTAAATCAGCTTTGTCATGACAACTGTCTCCGTGGTTACAGGTGCATTCTGGGATGCAGTGGGAGGGCAGGAGGACTACTGCCGGGCTCCCCGGCTGAACAACATGGAGGCTCATCCTCCCCGGCTGTTCGCCTGCTCCAACAAAACCGGAAACTTCCTGGTGTGTCTGTCAGTCTGGTCACATGACCGCGTCACATGACTGTTAACACTGTTGAGTTGCTTCTCACACTCACCAGCTGGTCACAGCCCTGCGGTCGTAGCTGAGGGACGGATTCCTCAGGAATGTTTTAACACTGAACACGTTGGTCCAGAATGGTCCAGAACAAACAGGAAGTTGTCTGTAGCTGTCCAGATTTGCTGTTACTGAATAAAGTTTTAGGTGCCAACAGTTAAATTCTACCTACCAACAAACACACCAGCATACAGGTAACGTTACAGGTGACTCTGTGTGTTCAGATGGAGGAGGTTCCAGGTGAGCTGACGCAGGATGACCTCGCTCCTGATGATGTCATGATCCTGGATACCTGGGACCAGGTGAGTCTCCCTGCTGTCTCCATGGTTCCAGGTCTCTGTGTCCTCGGTGTGTCTTTACCTGCTGTGTCCTCTTGCAGGTGTTTGTTTGGATTGGGAATGAGGCCCATGAGGAGGAGAAGGCAGAGGCTGTGAAATCAGGTAAAGGAGAGACGTAACCCGATCCTGTGTGGAGGCTGAAACACCTGCGTTACACCACATTGATCTCACCTGTGTTGTTGACTGCTGGCTCTCCTTCAGTTCTAACTGACTAGAGGAGAGATTTATTCACACTCCAAAGCACACGACTCAATGTGTAAATCCACGAAGAACGACTTTAGGTGTAAAAGGGGGACAGAAGTACAGATAACGCAGTAGCGTTCTGCTGGAATCAAACCACCCATGAACACCGTCATTATGACGCCACGGCTATTGAAACCATCAGGATTGTGCAGCATGGCAGGACGTTGCACCGCAGACAGGGATCTTATGTAGAGAGAGTGAATGGCATCACTAAAACAGGAAACCCAGTGAAACCATTCAACACGTCTTCATTAGAACCACATTCATCACATCTAACAGGAGCATCAGTATCAGTCCATAAAATGCCAGAAATGTATGTTCTACTCACCAAAGCCTGTGATTATTGAACACAATTCCATCCTCCTTCCCTCCATCATCAGCAGTCCAGTCCCTCTGCTGAGCAGCTAATCCACCCATCAGTCCTGTTCTGTCTCCTGGAGGCTGATGCTGACAGTCGGTCCGTCCAGTCCTGGTTCTGACATCAGGTTTAATTCGCTGTTACGGAATTAAAGTTTTATCTTGTGCAAGAACTGCTAGCTTTGGCTCAGCTCTCTGACCATCCAATCAGAAGACGTGGACGTGCTGACATCATCGCAGACGAGCTAGTGGGCCCTGGAACACCAACTCTCAATCTGATTGGTTAAAGCAACAGTTTCATTTGAACGCATTTTAAGCTACTTTTGATTCTAAAGCTCTGATATAAACATACGCTGCTGGAAGCGCCACAGCCCAGAGACGCTAACAGATGAAGAGAACAGACTGCTGGGGGTAAAGGTAAAAGACTAATGGGAAAATGTTAAAAGTCAGTGGTTCTGATGAGCTTAGGCCAGCAGAGAAGGCCTTGCTGGTTCATAATTACTATGTGATCAGTGGTGTTGTAGACCCGTCCTCTGTTTAGAGATACTGTTCCAACTCCATCAGCAAATGCAAGCCTCATGGTTGCGAGCCCCTACCTCAGAGACTCAGTCACGCGACTGAGGATGCTAACGGCTAACTGTTTGCTTCCTGTGCAGCTGTGCGCTACATCGAGAGCGACCCAGCAGACAGAGACCCGCGAACCCCGATCGTGACAGTGAAACAGGGGTTTGAACCGCCGACCTTCACCGGCTGGTTTCTGGGCTGGAACCACGAGTACTGGACTGATGACCCACTGGACCGCTTCCGCCAGAGCCTGTGATGTTACTGGATGTTGAAATAAAAGTCTGACTGCCTCAATAAATAAAAGCTGTGTGTTGTTGCCGAGGAAACAGTCTGACAGCCGGTTTATTGTCGCGTCTCTTTATAAATACTGAAGTGGATAAATAACAATAAGAGGATCTGAAACAGAACAAAAGAGGCTCATAAATACAGAACAGATAGAAGCCACAGTGAACACAGCAGAGACGGTCTGTACAGTGTGTGTATATGTGTGTGTGTGTGTGTGTGTGTTCACAAAACTATTCATCACAATTTAAATTTTTTACTGGTTGACAATAAAATCTGGTGTTTACATTAAAATTCTCTGAAACAACACAAACAAGCGTCTAACTCGGCAAGAACCTCGCCTGATCCTCTCCAACTAAATACTGAAACTACGGAAGCCTGCAGGGGTCGACACATGGCTCCAACGCTTGTTCTCTCTGTAGGAGCTGGACTAAAACTTTCCCTCTGCTTCCAGTCTTTGTGCTAAGCTAGGCTAACCAGAATGAGGCTGTTCTGACTCTGTGGCTCAGACGAAAATGTCGGACTGTTCCTTTAAAATACTATCGAAAGATAAAGAGCCTGAAAAGATAAATATGTTCTTGGCGGCTTCAGACACGAGAGTCGACATGTCAAACAAGTTCTGATCTACGCAGAACCTGCTTAACACCAGAACCATACGCAGCCGGAGTCGTGTCAGTTACGCCGATCAGACCATAGTCAAGGTGTGTACCAGTCAAAGCAGAGCCATATATAGGTGGAGTTGCTGCAGGTGGAGCAGAACTTATGAAGGCGTCCATTTTGATAGGTGGATGTTTCTGGTCCTTAACAGGAAGTACCAAAAGTAAACATGATATGATGTCAGACTTTGAAAGAGGAAACATGCACAACATAAACAGGAAGTGAAGGGTAACCTAGCAACAGGGGTGTAGTCAGTCGGAGGTTGATGGACAGCTCCATCAGTACTGATTGGTGAGTACTGTCATTTAGCTCCGCCTCCAGCTACCTCTGCCCCACCCCACCCCCTGCAGCAACAGCCAATCACAGCTCAGCAGTTGCCAGAGTTGCGGAACTCTCCGTTTTCAGTGATCTGCAGAGATGACGTGTTGCTAGGAGACAGGCCGTTCCTCTGTGATGTCACTGCGTACCGCTCTTTCAGCTGAGTCAGCGCCGCCATCAGGCGAGTGTTCGCCGCATCAAGGCTCGCAATCCTCTTCTCCTGAGAAAAACAGGTGAGGGAGACCGGCGACAGACAGGTGTGAGACAGGTGAGAGAGAGAAAGGCGAAAAACAGGTGTGGAGATGGACAGACAGATACCTGCGCCTCTATGATCTTCTGCTTGGAGTCGACCACAGCCTGCATGTCTGAGTGATCCTTCTTCAGCTCCTCTTCTACTGCCATCAACCTGCACAGGTAACAGGTCAGAGGGGTTATTATACAAACAGACCCAACCACTCGCTCATAGACAGGTGCACAGACAGACAGCAGTACAGACAGACAGGTGTTCAGGTGTCCTACCTGCTGATGATGCTGTTCATCTGCAGGTCTTTGTCGTCCTGCAGTCTCCTCAGTCTGCTCTCTGTGTCCTCCAGCCGAGCCTGAAAAGCACACACAGCTATTGGGCTGTGTCATGTGACCCCAGCGCCGTACAGGTGTGTCAGGTGTGTCACAGACCTGGTACTCCTGCAGCATACGTTGGTTCTGTTGATCCTGGACCATCAGACGGGTTTCACACTCCTCCTGACGCAGCGCCGCAACTCGCAGCTTTTCCTGCAGTAGCGCAATCTCCTGTTGATACTAAAGACACACACAGTCAGAACCAGCACAACCAACAGAATCGGCAGAACCACAACCACCAGGCGGTCACCTTCTCTACAAGGGCCTCATCATGCCGATCGTCCTCCGCCTCGCCGTAGGAGGAGGCCGAGTTCATGTTGAGCAGCCAGGCAGCGGTCCGATCCAGCGCACATGGAGACGGAGCCTGGAACCACACAAACATCTGAGCAGGTACCAGAACCAGAGCCTGGGTCTAAAAACCTGAGCAGGTACCAGAACCTGGATCTGGGTCTAAAAACCTGAGCAGGTACCTGAACCTGACGTGTGTCTAAACCTGAGCAGGTAGCAGAACCTGGGTCTGGGTCTAGCCTGCTGTGTTTAATGCACAGAGCCGTGCTACCTGACCAGGTGTCTTCAGGTGGTTACCGTTGTTACAGTCTGGTTACCTTGGCAGCGGGCCGCTGTTTCTCGGGACTGTCTCCTTTAGAAGATGACGACGTCTGTCTGAGCCGTGACTGGCCGCTGCTCGGCCAATCGGGGCTTGATGACATCATGCTGCCAGAGGTAGGGCGTGGAGGGTAGGCGGGACCGCCGCCACTGCCACCGCTGAGCATGCTGGGAGGTGTACGGCCCCGAGGGGGTCCTGGCGGAGCTGATGACGGAGGCGGCGGCTGATCGATGCGTCTCTGAGGACCCGAGGAGTTCTGTCGTGGGGGGGCGGAGCTGCCTGAGGGAGGGGGAGCAACAACAGGTGAGCTCAAGATTGATGGACAGCAGCTGAAACCTGACGCCGGACTCGTACCTGTGAGGGTCTCGGTGAGGGAGAGTGCCCGGCGGGAGTATTCCTCGCCGCTGCTGCTGCTCGACATGGCAGACATCCTCTCCCCCCGCTCCCCCCCTCCCAGCCCCACTGACATCTGCGTGAGAAATGCCGGTTTGTTCGCCATGGCGTTCCTGTCCTCGGCGTTCCCCTGCGACCCCACTGAGCCGTCCGACGGTGTGGCGTCGGCCTGCTGCTGTGGCTGCCGTGGTGATGTGGTGGTCATGTGATAGACCGGGTTCTGGAAGGAGAGGGGGAGGAGCCCTGTCCTGCGCTGCCACTGACTGTCGTCAAGGCCGTCGCTAGGTGAGGAGTCTTGCAGGTCCACCAATGACAGGCTGCGGCTCTCATTGGTCAGCTCCGGCCCCTCCCTCCGGCCCCCGTTGGTCATTTCAAATGCCGCCTCGTTCTCGTTTGGCTCAGAGTATGAAGAGCTTGGTGCAGGAGAACCCTGTAGACCTGAGGTCAGAGGTCAGAGGTCAGGGGTCAGCTCAGCTGTGAGATGATTGGATGATGACGAGTGAGAAACGTCACCTGATGCAGGCTGCAGACTGGAACCTTTAGTGACGAAGAACAAATCTTTGTTCTCTGGAGTTGGAGATGGAAGTCGAGTGAAATCTACCAACCTACACAAACACAGACACACAACCAGTAAGGCACACAGTGAGCTTCAGCGTGAGTCAATTGAGTCTCGCTAACACGCCGTTACCCTCCGTCCAGTCCCATGCCGCCCTGCAGGCCGATGGAGGGATTACAGGCTGCCAGAGGAGGAGAAAGGGGTGGAGACAGAGGGGGCGGAGACAGAGGGGGCGGAGACACTACGCGCTGTGGCTCCGGGGAAGAAACGGACACGCCTCCAGTGCTGGCCACGCCCCCCGGGTTAGAGAGAGCCGCTGACACGTCTCTGAGGATCCGAGGAAGAGGACCAAGCTTTGCCAGACATGACTGGAGACAGACAGGTGATAGTGAGATGCTGTGCTATCTGGTCATCAGGTGTGTTATCTTGTCAGTTCAGTATGTTACCTGGTCGGTCAGGTGTGTTACCTGTTCGAGCTCGGTCAGCAGGGTGTGCAGGCTCGACAGCTCCCTGCCCAGGTCGATGTACCCGTCGAAGCCGGCGGTGTGGTTCAGCCCGTCGGGGTTGGAGATCTCCTGCAGGAAACGCTGCATGCTGCTCCACTGCCGCTCCACAAAGTCATTCATGAATAGCATGTACTCCTCTTTAGTGCCAAACCTGCAGCCACAGGTGAGAGCAGATTGGCTCATTGGAGACCTGACAGGTAAAAGCTTAAACACAGGTAGACAAACAGGTACAGGTAACAGACGCTTCACAGCAGTGGCAGTCGTGGCGTACTTGCTGAAGTTGGCGAGGTTTTGAATCACTTTGGCAATCAGCGTCAGCGTCCTCGCCGTACGTTCGTCGGGGTACTCCTGCATGAGGTCGAACAGCGATGGTGACATCACAGCGGGACACAGGAAGCGCAGGAACAGCGAGGCGCTGATGAGACGCTCACTGATGTCCGGTCGCCCCCGGCTACCACATTCTTGACGCCATGACGCAAACACCTCCTTCAGCTCTCGGGGGAAGACCCTGTGTGGGTGGGGCATATCACACACTGATGTTATGGCAGAATACATGGTGTAGGGGGCGTGTCAGGTGAGTCTCAGGTGAGTGCCAGCTGAGTCAGTACCTGTAGGAGTCAAGGATCTTGCAGAAGGCCAGTTCGCAGCACATCCTCAGGTTGGCCTGATGCTCTGCGAGGTCAGAGGTGGCACAGCGAGACGGGTCGACCTCACAATTCTCATCAGACTCATACAGTGCTTTGATGAACTCACCTGGACACACAGGTAGATGAGGTGATGCACAGATCACAATCACAATCAGCACACAACACACCCAGACCTGTATGTGTGGTGTGTTTCTGTGTGTGTACCGAGGGCGTCCTGCAGGTACTTCTGTCCAATCAGCTTCAAGTATTCCTCGATACTTTTTGTCGCTAGTGTGTTCTCTCTGAAAATCAGCTGGTCATTGTCACGGCAACGGTCAACCTCTGACATCATCAGGTCTGTCAGGAAGTCCTGCAGACAGGAGTCAGATGTCATGGGGTGGAGTCAGTGTGAAGGTGTGTTCAGGTGTGTTCAGGTGAGCTCACCTTGGCCTTGCCGGTGCTGTGCAGGATGTGCACCAGTGCAGCAGCCAGCTCCTCTTTGGCCCTCAGGCTGATGGAGGCCTCGAGGGTGGAGCAGAGCAGCAGGTAGTTGGAGCTGATGTACTCCGCAAACTCTTTGTACTGCTCCATCGGCAGGATCACAATGCTCTGGTACCGAGCCTTGACCCGCACCGTCGGCACCGAGGACTTACCTGAGGACACCGAGAGGGGACAGTGAAACACAGACACAGAAATGGACTGTTGCACCAGTACACAGACACTCCACAGTCGTGGACACCTATCCAGGTGTAGGATGCAGCTACATACCTCTGCTGGTGCTGGGCGTGCTCACTGAGTACCATTTCTCCACCAGCTGTCTGCCGGTAACCGTGGCGACAGGAATGTTGACCAATCCCACATAGCTGCTCTTGTCCTTCTTCCTCTTGCGGTCGGTGTCCTTATAGAGGTGCAGCGTGATGGACGAGACGGACGGAAGGCTGCTGAAATCAAAGCGTTCGCCCCAGAACACGTTGTCCGTCCTCAGCTTACAGGATGTCCGAGCGTAGAGACTGTCGTCCAGACACAGCTCGCAGAAGTACCTGAAGAGGTACAAATACTGCTGTTATCAAAGTAGAAATACTGCTGGCACTGAAAAACAAGTTTTACCTTTACTGCAAGACAAAGTATATAATTAGCACTGCGTTGGTGCAGCGCCCCCTTATGTCAGTGCTGCGTTGGTGCAGCGCCCCCTTGTGTCAGCACTG